CAGCTATGACACGCAACTATCTACTGGGGCTTTGGGGGGAAAAATAAATAAATAAAATCTTTAAAAAAAAAAAAATAATAAAAAAAAAATAAAGTACTTCAAATGTTTTAAAATAGGACTTGGGGATAACCTTGTACCTTTCCAAAAGTATATATCCATTTAATTGCATTTGTTTCCAGCTGATCTAAGATTTTGTTTTTATGCCTAAAGAAATAATTTGTCAGTGCCATTTATTGAGTTTCATTCAACAACTATTTATTGTGTGCTTGCTGTCTACGTTGGTGGGTAGGGACCTAGGCAATGAGTGACCAAGATGAGTGAGACCTTGCTCTTCCTCCTGAGAGAAACAGACCTGCACATACTTGGTAATCAGGCAGCAATTGGAAAAATTGAGTGGGGAGGTGCTTTCTGAGCTGAATTCTAGCCACACACCAGGCTGGGCTGCATGTTGAGAGAGGACCAGGAGCAGAAATTCTTTTCCACCTTGGCTGCTAGGCAGCCCAGGTGCAGGAGGGCGATTAGCCCAGTCCACCGGGCATCTTGCTGCTCTGCCTTTCTTGGATGTGAAAGCCTGGGGTCTGACCTTGATTGCTAACCCCAGGAGTCCCCAGAATGACATTGACAGGCGGCTATCTGGGATTTAAACAGGCTATTTAAAGTTGATGTTCTGTCAGAGAAACTTTGAATTCTGGAAAAATTGATCCTCAATTGTTCAGTTCCAAAGGCAATCCCTAGGTCCCTGTAACCATGCCAACAGGCAGTCACTCCCAGACTGGAACATGGTTCATGCTGTGGATATTGTGGGGAGGTACAGAAGAGAAGGCTCACCCTGAGGACTGGTGCCTGAAGCACAGGTGGAGGGATTTCCTAGCATGGTCAAGTCCTCTCAGCTGAGAGTCAGGCTCAGCGATATCTGAACAGCTGCTGTTAACATAATCGCAGAACCTGACCATCGTAGTAGAGAGAACATTCTTGAAAGAGAAAATACAGTGTGAGAAAAGGTAATAATGGGCCTCGAAAACCAAGATCAGCAGACCTCTTCTGAAAAGGGCATGGTCTCTGGGACAGAAGCAGTGTGACACAGCCAAAGAGGGTGCCTGAGTGAAAGGGCGTGGCTGAGTCTCCGTCAGACTTTGTCTGCAAACACAGGCAGCAGGCTGCCTTGCTAGCCTCTGATGTGAAGGTGAGAAAAGGAAGAACTAAGCTAAATTTTTCATTTACTTGAGAGAGAGTCAGAATGTACTGTTTCCTTCTTGATATTCATTCAACAGATGTTGGAGTGCCTCACTGCCGGCCAGGCACTGTTCTGTAGAACTCGCTCTAACAGGGGGAAGGGCAGGCGCACACAGTGTCTTCTGCTCTGCAGGAACTACACAAGGTGTGGTAGGACGGGGGTGGACAGGCTTGGGTTTCCTCTAGTACGGGGTGCAGCCCAGCCTCTTTAAGTGCACAGCAGGCCGAGGGCTCTAGGAGGAGGGTCCGGGTGAAGCACAGAATTTGCCGTAACCACAACCCTCCCAGGTAACCTTGGTGAGGTTCTGGCTCAGTCGGGCGCCAGAGATGAACGGTGTACTTGCAGCATGGGAGGTGAGCAAGTGCTGACTGTTTCAGGAAGGGGTGTCTCTAGGGAAAAGCATGTGCCTGTGAATACTGAAGAGTGTGAAGGTGGGAGGTGAGATCTCAGGATCACCAGGTCCCCTTGAACTTGGACTGCAGAGACGGTGGTGGCCATCAGTCCAGTTCTGTGGATGAGATATTTGAGATTTAGGCCCACAGGTAGCACTCGTGGGCATTCTTAATATCAGTAGCAGGACTCAAGCTGTTTTACACGTGAATATCCAATGCACCCTTAACCGATTTGACCAAGGCGCCTAAATGGAATTGGATGTTCAACCTTAGGTAGGCATTCCCATGCTCAGCACTGTGACATTTGAGGCTGAGTTGCTCTCTGTCATGGGGGCTGCCCTGTGAATTGTAGGATGTTTAGCAGCATCTCTGGCCTCTACCCACTAGATGCTAGTAGCCACCCTCACTCCCACCCCACAGTTGTGACAACCTAGAATGTCTACAGACACTGCCACGGTGCCCCTGGCAGGGCAGAATGGCCCTGGGTAGGAACCACAGGTCTAAGGAATGGGGTCTGAAGTCTGTGTGTGCGGCAGTCTGCTTCTTTCCTCTTTATTTCCAGGGTAAGTGCTGGACAACCCCTAGCACATGCATGTCCTGTGTATCCAGTGTGGCCTAAGCTCTCAGCCTGGGTCACAGTCAAGGTATATCTTTATTTTCACATTAAACTGGTTTGTGCACCCACTTGTGAGATGAAGAGGAAGTCCCACGGATTCTTCCTGAGACCTTCCACTGGGGCAAAGAACCCAACGCCACACTTAGTCCAGGGGGCCCTGCCCTGTGTCAGGATGCCTCTTTAGTGACCAGTGCACCCACTCTGTTACCGAACCAAGTGGGCTTGCCTCCTGGTGAGTTAAAGACTACACCAGTGGAAGTTGTCTCACAAAGTAAAGTGTGTTTGCAGCAAATAGGAGGCCATGAGGAATCATTTCCAAAGTCATGGCTTCTCTGGACAAAGGGAAGCAGAAACTTTTATTTGGTTGGGGAATGAATATTCAGAAGGGAGAGGCAGGTATTCACTTGCACAGGCTCAGTTGGAGAACATGCTTCCACATAATGAGGCCTGAGCTCCTCCTGGAGAGATCTTTGCATTAAAAATAAGGCAAAGGCATTCACAAAAATTAACTCAAAATGGATCGAAGACCTAAAGGTGAGACCTGAAACTCTAAAACTCATAGAAGAAAATATAGGCAACACACTATTTGACGTTGGTCATAAAGGAATCTTTTCAGCTGACATGCCTACCCAGTGTAGGGAAACTAAAGAAAAAATAAACAAGTGGGACTTTATCAGATTAAAGAGTAAAGAGCTTCTACAAGACAAACGAACCCAGAATCAAGATGAACAGACA